GGCCAGCTGTCAAAGTAGGTCACTATAATTTTTCTCAGTCTACTCACTAGACCACCACATTATATTGTCAACAAATATCCAGACACAAAAGGAGAACTCAAAATGTAAGATTTCTGTCTATCATTCACGAATGATAATGAAAAATACATTTGGCATATAAAAATGGCAAAAATAGGGTCTAATGATATTTCATGTAATGAGGTCACGCCGACATACTACTACTAGGCCAGTAAAAATTGACATCGAACCCGGACTTAAAAGATAACAGCCAAATTTTTGGGCCAACTTGAACTTTGAGCTGTTAAGTACTACCCAAAAAAATTCAAACAAAATCGCCCTTGGGGAACATGCTTAATTTTAACCTAATAAAAGTCAAAAAGGTCAATTTTCGAATTTGTTAAAATATGTCATTTATTTGTTCAGAATGAAAGAGATAGTCAAATGAAACACAGAAATACTTTTATTTTTAAAAGTGACCCCATAGTTATCACTTAATTAGCATTTAAAGATTATAAAAGGTCAAGGTCTTCAAGTCGTAATCAACAACGTCAAAGACAGTGCGCAGATTAAGCCATTTACTAACCTGGTGATGCACTCTAAGGGCTTGGTATTGTGCGGCTCTCAAGGTCATCTTAAAAATAGCTCAAATATGGTCGTGTTTGGTATCAAATTCAACATATCAACAAGAAAAACACAGAATTTATGTTGTTAATGCAATTAACTTACATTTAAGTTACCTATTGGCGGTAACACATGATTGAGATAATAATAATATACGTTTTAAAACAAAAAAATATGGTGAGATCATATAAACCTCAAAAATAAATCCTTGTTCGATCATAGCATGCAGCTCGGCTTTTGTATGCCAAGCTTCAGGAAAATTCTTTGGTAAACATGGGAAGATAAGTAAAAATAGTAAAATTAGGGCGAAATAAGACCTTTTCGTGATTTCACCTTTGGAACTCCCCACTTCCATTGTTTGAGTAATGGTCATAAGTGTATGACTTCTGCTGTGTATGGGTTTCCTTCCTCTAGGCTGGTTGCTCTGAAGAGCTATAGAGTCTTTCCTACCCTTGTTACTTAAGAACAAGTCTGTTTGCGTTGATTGGTAGAGAGCCAGTCCCCTTCCACTCCATCCGCGTCGTGGGCCAGGCACACTCAATGTGTAAACTAGAAGATACTGAGCTCGGCGGTTCCTTCACTAGGCCCAATTTAAATTGTGTCCGTTTCTGAAGCTTTTCATACTGCCCTCTGCAATGACAATGTATTCTGCAAGAGATGTTGTACTTGCAGCAAGTACAGGATTTGTATGGTGGAGTGCTGCTCTTACATGAACAGCGGATTTCACGTAGCAGTTCATCTGGGGCCGGAGCATTGTCAGTTATCACCTGACTCATAATGTTGTCACTCACAGTAAAGTCGTAATCAACAACGTCAAAGACAGTGCGCAGATTAAGCCATTTACTAACCTGGTGATGCACTCTAAGGGCTTGGTATTGTGCGGCTCTCTCTGTTGGGGCCATCCGTTCAAGTGGCAAACTTTGGGGAGATGATATGTTGATATCGAAGATCAGTAAGGCTCAGGTTTGCGGCCCACTCACTGCAGTAAAGGAATGACAAGAACTTGACTCCTAAGTCAGTGATGTCTTTTACATTGGCATCTGTTTGCCCCAAAAGTAGAGCTATCAACTGTCTTTTTCTTCCAGTGACGACCCTAAGAGTCGCATCAATGCTTGCTTATTCTGAAGATTGGTAGGGAATGAATCTTTGTCAGTCCGCAGATTTGTGCTGTGATGAAGATCAACGACTGGATGTGGTGTGTACGTAGTCTTTCTTCTCTTTTGCTCAGGTGCTTTGGTAGTTATAGTTTCATAACTGTCAAAGACGACACAAAGTCGAATAGCTGGCGTCCTGTTGTGGAGCAAACAGTTGACGAATAGCTGATACAATGTTTTCACTGTTCCAACCTTTATCCAGTTTAGACGATGAAGGATGTGGATGCCATCATACACCAGATAATGAGGCTTGTCATTGACATTATTTACAACAATGTTTTGGGACGTGTTAATGATGTGATTGGCCAGGAGACATTCGTCCGTCTTCCTCATACTCCCGTTGTCGTGAAATAAGGCAGGAGCCACAGGTGAAAACTTATACTTGAATAAAGAAGATTCAAGGGGGACCACGGACACAGGCCATTGAAAGCAGTCGCTGGTACATCTCAGATGACATAAAGATATTGTCGTTCAGGATTTGCACGGTTCTACGCATCACCTTGAATGTGACAGCTTGGTCACTTTTTAAAAAAGGAAACCTTGCCATAGCACATACCAGTCATTTCAGCATGTACTTTCCTGTTTAACGTTTACCTTGCTATCGGCGACCACACCAGCTTTAGAGATATTAATTAAAGTACCTTTCTTTTCCCTCTTTTTCCTTGCAGCAGCCTCCAGGCGGTCTGGGAAGTACATATCCCATGCCACATCAACTCTTCTCACACCCTATAACTGCCTTTGAATGTAGGGTTCGAAAATGCTGGTTAAGTACTCAAGTAATGTCTCTGAAAGCTTTGTTCCATGCATCTGGACAATTGCAGCCCCGTCAAGTACCTTGGCTTCAACCATCCAGCTTTCCTCAACAGACGGCACTTGCAGAATCTCTGCAGCTGTTTCAAGGTCAGGTTCTGATGTGAAGTCTGCATATAAACACTTCAGATCAAACTCATCCTGCCCCAGGTCTGTGACGTCGAGCAGATCGTCTGGAATTGTGCAGAGATGGATCTGCACCAAATTCGTCGACCTCCATTAGAACCTCAACGCTCCTGACTGGAGGAGTTGATTACTGGGACCGAAGAAGTTGTTTTCTTCGTTTGAGTGCCCAGGGACATGAGGCAGATCAGCAGGTCGGCTTTTCTTCCAGTTCTGACCTCCTCAACTGTGTTTACGTTTTACCTTGAGTTTGTTAACTGAAATTCTTCACTTTTTTAGTCTTTCTGTCACATAGACATATCCAGCACCCTCCCCCTAGTAAGCAAATCGAGTGTTCTTCAGTGTCAGTCTAGCATAAAGCACAAAGGTCCCAGTTGATTTCTTGGCATCTTCTCTCATCCTCTCCTCTCGTTTCAGGAAATGCAACATCACTTTCAAGGCGAGTGAATTGTCGTGCCATGGTGCTTAATGAAGAAAAAAGTGATATGGACATGTTTTTTTTATCGTTGACTCATGGAATAGTTTGTTTTGAGTTGTTTTCTTAATTTGTATGCATAGTTTATGTACATCAAGTGAAGAAATTATAAGTTGGATTTGCTCGACTCAAAGCCATACTTAACGTGCATTACGATGATGCTCAGTCATCATGTCCATTACTGTATGTACATGATGTTATTCTTTCGCTTATCCAACCCATTCATGGAACAGTAACACTTATTCCACAAAAAATTAAAACACTCACTCTCAAACAAAGTCTAAGAACGGAATATTACGGCTGTTCTGTCATCAATCGCCATATCCTGCATTTGGTGTACCCAAAGAATTAGTAGGTTGTGGTCACAATGGAGCACCATACTTTTTCGCCTATTTTGCTAGCGTTAGCGTTGTTATTGCAGTGATTGTTTTTAATTTCTCTACTCTATAGCGCTTATGATGGTATTTAATTTCTCTGCTTTAGTCTTTTGGCTAAATTAAAAAACTATTCACAACAGTTGCGCCTTATAATCGTAGTAAAACGGCAGCTCTGTGGACCTGTCCACGAAGCGTAGGTCTACCGGAAACGTGTGTGTGTTGAGTTTTCAAGCTTGAGTTTTCAGCGGGGAAAAGTGTTGTCAGCTAGGCCTACACATCCGGCATGGGAGGCTGGGTTTTTTTGTATGGTGCGCGGTTTTGGTCAAATAGCTAAATGAGTGATTTTTAATTAGCTCTCACGCCTAATTAAATACCACCAGTAAATGGATCCCCCTCTCAAACAACTATTTTATGCACATACAATTGAATGTGCATAGCCAAATATCTCTAACACGTTGCGCAGTTAAAACGGATTAACGAAACGGACTATACAGGGAGATGAGAAGCCGTTCTGTGTCGGATGCGACTCAAATTTTACCATTAGACACATTTTAACCGAATGTCGAGACTTCGGAGAGATCCGAAGGAAATACTTTAAATTTAAAAAATTGCAAGACATTTTCCCGTCATTGGTCCCAACAGAATTTTGGATTTTATGAAGGCCATTAAATTGGCCTTTATGGAAAATTGTAGTGTAGAACAAAATTGAATTATTAAAAAGTTTTATATGAAAGTTGTTTTTAGACTCAAATTATATAGTCTATGTACTCCAAAATTTAAATATTTTAACGTTTTAAGATCAAAATGACCCGTACCCAGCCGTGCAGTGAACTGCGTATAGATCTACAAAAAAAAACAACTAACTTGTGTTTCGCGCACTCATATGATGACCTTATCTTATACAGTTGCGAGCGCCGTAAAACCCCATACTAAAAAAAACCCATGTTTACCGTCTTACTTTAGCTTTGTTATGCGCGGAGCCCGATACCCGCATCCCGCCTCGCTTTCCACTCTCGGTAATTTTCTAAGCTCCCTGGCTTGATATCAAGACTAATACCAAAAAATAAGAAGCAAGCCTGCATAGGCCCTAGGCCTAGGCTAGAATTTAAAAAAACCCGGACAGACGTCTAGATAGGATTTTTAATGATTATCTCCCTTAAGGGCCTTGCCACCTAGGCCTAAGTTTGACGTATAGAAAACCGATTTTTTTAAAAGATCAAATCAAAACCCACTTATCATTTCTTTTGTATAAATGTATATTCTTTCAACTAAAATGAATCTAAGAAAATAGATTACCATGAATAGTTTACTTTCAATTTGCCTAATGAAGCCAACATTCGTGAATGCTTCATAACTTATTTTGGCGATATTGTGGCAGGTTTTTATACGGCGGCACGGCGGCACTGCCTAAACAGGACCTGGTATCCCCTGGCATAAATTTATCCCATGTGCGTTGTGCAGTGTAAGAAAACAGCCTAGCCTACACTCTTCACCAGACCTGTGGCACGAGGCACGAATACTGAATTCACACACGCACGCATTGTTTGTACAACCGTTGTAAACATGCCGAAAAAAGCAACAAAGAAGCAGACGGTGAAGTATATTTTTGATACTTTTGAAAATACCTCAGTAGTATTATTTAGCTAAAGTTTCATTGGTTTAAATGGTTAAAATCATAGCCATTTGAAGTGTTCGTTTCAGTTTGTTACTCAAAAGCACATGGCACATGCCATCATGGACCAAGCATTGGTAGTGTTTTGTCCCACGTGGTGGGCTTTCCGAGATTAGATCTAGATAAAGAGATCAAAATCTCGCTAAATTTTCATTGTTTTATAGTTAGATCTATCTATTCTTAAGATTATAATCTAAATCTAGAATCTAGTTTTGTAACTGATGATAGGATGGTGAAGACATGGCTTGGACTGAAGACTTGTTGGCTTGCTGGTTGTGTGGTAGAGTAGATTCGGGGAAATTCGCCACCTGACCCTCCATACCGATATAAAATAGGAATAATCCGATATACTGACCAAGGAAGAGTTTAATTTAAGTTACTTGGGACCAGAAACAATTCATTGTCAATTGACCAACCAATCATAAAAATCTAGATCTATTGTTATGATGAACAAACAACGCGATGTTTTAGGGCAGGCATGCATCTTCCCACTAAGCTTCCCTTTCCTCCTGGGCCACCTCTATTCTCACCCGGGGTGAGAATAGTGCAGGCGGGTCTTGTGGCTATTCTCACCCGGTGCGCGTGTCAACAAATTTTGCGTTCACCCTAAACCACAGAATTCTACACTGTGATAAGAGAAAAATTGTAGAATTCTGTGCTGTGAACAAACG